TAAACACCAGGAGGCTCCAGGCACGAGCCCATCCCTCTGTACAGCTGGGGGTTCAGGGTTTAACCCGAGCCCCTGAGGAAGCAGCCCTGCTGTGGGGCCACCCCAGACCAGCCCTGCTGTGAGGCCACCCCAGACCAGCCCTGCTGTGGGGCCACCCCAGACCAGCCCTGCTGTGGGGCCACCCCAGACCAGCCCTGCTGTGGGGCCACCCCAGACCAGCCCTGCTGTGGGGCCACCCCAGACCAGCCCTGCTGTGGGGCCACCCCAGACCAGCCCTGCTGTGGGGCCACCCCAGACCAGCCCTGCTGTGGGGCCACCCCAGACCAGCCCTGCTGTGGGGCCACCCCAGACCAGCCCTGCTGTGGGGCCACCCCAGACCAGCCCTGCTGTGGGGCCACCCCAGACCAGCCCTGCTGTGGGGCCACCCCAGACCAGCCCTGCTGTGGGGCCACCCCAGACCAGCCCTGCTGTGGGGCCACCCCAGACCAGCCCTGCTGTGGGGCCACCCCAGACCAGCCCTTCCCAGCCTGCACCAGAGCCCGAGGGTCTGAGCGAGCTGCAGAGCCCGGCAGGACCCGCTGTGGTGACGGGAAATCCACGGTGGCTCAAGGCAGCGAGGGGGGAAGGAGCCACCATCCGCTCTCTGCAGGGCACAGACCCGTCTCACAGCCCCCTGCCCACCCAGAGCTCTTACCCCCTTCATGGTCACGGCTGTCTGGACCTTGGAGGCCACGGCGTCCACCCGGGACGACATGCGGAGCCAGTTGAGCCCCTCGTTCTTCTTGCGGATGGCGTTCTCGGCGTAGACACGGGCACACTCCACATTCTTCTGCTGAAGGGCCTGGGAGGGCACAGAGAACCCAGGGCAGGGTTGTACACCAGAGAGTTTTGCTGCTGCTTGGCAGGGTTCCAGCAGGAAACATCTCCTCTGTGACCCTTGGAACACTGAGCACACCCTGGAGAGGGAATGACATCCCTCCTGGTGCCACAGGGACGTGCCACATCCACCCCAAAGGTTGGGGAGCTGAGGGTGCTGGTGTCACAGCACACCCTGGAGAGGGAATGACATCCCTCCTGGTGTCACAGCACACCCTGGAGAGGGAATGACATCCCTCCTGGTGTCACAGCACACCCTGGAGAGGGAATGACATCCCTCCTGGTGTCACAGCACACCCTGGAGAGGGAATGACATCCCTCCTGGTGTCACAGCACACCCTGGAGAGGGAATGACATCCCTCCTGGTGCCACAGCACACCCTGGAGGGGGAATGACATCCCTCCTGGTGCCACAGGGACGTGCCACATCCACCCCAAAGGTTGGGGAGCTGAGGGTGGGACTGGAAACACTCAGGGGTTGAGGTGGCACAGGCAGCCAGGGCTTGGTGAGGGACCATATCCCTGTCCCATGTCCCCTGGGGGAGAACACTGCCCCTGTCCCCCAGCCCTTGGTGGGACCCACAGCTCACCCCACACGTGGGCCGAGCTCCCACCCACCTTTTTGACTTTGGCTTGTTCAGCTTTAGAGTCTTTCTCAGCTTTTTTAGCGAGTTTCTCCAGCTGCTTCGCTGTGAACTGTGGAGAAAACAACGGGTCAGTACCAGGGAGATGGATCCCACCACCCGGGGACCGGAGGCTTCCAGGGCACACCCCGGAAACGGCAGCCCCGGAGGATAAACCCGACCAAAGGGCTCCCTCTTCCCGCAGCCACCGGCACCGC